AAACTCGAACCATTGTAGATGACGTAAAATCAGAGAGCACACCACTGATACAATTAACTTCCTGAAAAAATAGAACTTGGGTGTTTCGGGTGAAGGCCCTTCGTCTGGAAATTAGCAGTCAGACACTACAAACGTTCGCAGTTTGTATTATATAACCGTGTGGAGTATCGCCATACAAATAGGCAAGTCTATGTGTACACAATACAGTACAAGTCTGCAAACTTACAACACAACTTATTGCTTTTACTTTCGTTGTTATTTTCAGAGTTATTAGAGATCAATTATTAGAAGGAGATTTTGCCACCAGTATGAAACTTGTACAGGTAAGGGAAAGGACATCTGACCCCCCAATTTTATTTCATAAAATAATTTCTCTTAGTGTACTCAATTATTTTGGCAACTTAAAGAAAATTCCATTGATCCAAACAAAATGTATTATGAATAATTACATTTACGTATAAATTTGAAAGATTTTGGCTCAACAGATTTTTAAAAATTGTCAAAATGATTGAATGTACTAAGACAAATCATTTTATGAAACGAGTTTGGGCGTCACCGAGCTTTAAAGCGAAATGTCTGCCATCTTGAAACGTCATTGTTGTCATAGCAACGCAGTTGTGTAACTTTTGTGAAGAATTTCAAACCATTTAGATGTTGTTTTACATCAGTTAGATATACTTTTTGTTTTTCAACAAGTAGTAATTGTGCAAAAATAATATAATGTGAATAACTGTGTTTTAATGCTTTAACAATGATTTGTCATGGTAGACATAGTGTTGAAAATGTATTAAATCGATAAAACATTTTACTAAACTAATTTCGCTCTCATCTACAGTTTTGATAAAAATCTGTGGTAACAATATACACGCCACCACGAAGCCCTGGGGACGAGGTTTATACTGTAATCAATATTAGTACAGTACATGTTTTCGTCAAGGACAATAGCGTTATCAACTTATCATGCCTGGCTTCGACAAGGCAACTAGATTGTCTAGGCTAGCCTGAAAACCCATGCACTAATTTTCTATTCCAGGCCTGGAGAGTTTCGTTAATCGCTTTTAGCATCTTTATAGTACACAAAATACTATTCAAACACGAAATTTTTCCAAATTTGACGAATTTTTACCAAAAGTGAAACATTTCATATGTCACCAACGTAAATATGTCGCCAACGTAAATTTGCTGCCCCCAGCCCCAAAATGTGTCCGCCACTGGCTGTATTTAAATGAATATGCAAAAACCAAAATTCATCCTTTCTTAAAATTGTAGAACTACCCAGTCACGGACATACATATAATCTTGAATAAAGCTATGGAACTTCGCGACCCGTTTAAAAGGATGTCACAAAAAGTATGGAAGAAATCACACAAAACATAACATACATATGGTAGATAACAATTATAACGATTATATCTATACGATAACAATTATAGCGATTATATCTATATGATTAAGATATTTATGCACTAATTAAAATTTCTGGGTGTTGATACAACAGCAAAATTGTGTAAATCATTGCAACACTGTGGACACTGATTTAATAGTGTAATGTCAATATCTCTGCAAATCGGATCACGACGTTCTTAAATTAGCTTCAGTATGTGTTTCCTATGTAACTTGAAAGATATAGCTCCCAACATCTCTTCTAATGAGTTTTAGAACGTTTTGAACACCAGATAAGGAGACTTGTGGCAGCCATCTTGATGTTACCTCATTAGTTATTCACGGGAAAATTTAAGGGAGAAGAGCGGCCACTGTTGATAAATTTCTATTGAATGTGGCCTTTTTCGAACTGTCAATTGTACATAGGAGCCTGGGACTCACGAATTGTAGAGTTTAGAGACCTGTATTTTCGAAATTATTGCGCTAAATCAAAAAAAGCTTTTGAACTTATTTTAAAACTAACTTTCTACGCTCTTTTCAAATCCATAAGGGTCCCACAAGTGATATAGGCATTTTAAAACCTCTTCTACAGTACTATGTCACCAACACCACAATGAAAATTGGGGAGGGGGGGAGGGGGTCACTTATCGGCCACAATATACTTATCGGCCATATTGATGTCACCACAAATCTACTGTTGCTGACAGAGTAGAAAAAGGAGTTCCTAAATATCACGATTGTTGAGTGTATTTGAATTTCGCTTACACAGGAATGGTGTTAAAACATTTACACTCGTTACCTACAGAGCTACAATGATCTACACCATTTTGGTGTTGTACCAATACTCCGAAACTTAGAGTGTAGCAATACAAACCGCAAATAGTGAGCCCTACTACTATATATATATCTACAGCAAGAACTTCAGTTATTAATCCTATGAGAAAAGTGAAGGCAAGATGGCAGAAATGGACGTCCAAAGTTGATGAAGGTCGTAAACAGTTTCCATATACCATTTTCGCCAGCTACTTCCAGTTTGTTTTCTAGCGGACCGAATTGCTGATCAAGGTATCAGTTCATAAAACCATAGTACGATTCTTGAAATCGAAGTCAAAATTTGAAACTTCGGCAGATTTCTTGCACCTTCGTGTTAACCGCGCAGACTACAATAGAAAGGGACTGGCACTGGATGAGAATTTCCGCCATCTTTAGCTTCACTTTTTAGACGCGAGTTCTCACTCCAGATATATATGAAGTTCACCGGGTAGTACCACTGGCAATATTGGGAGCCACATTGGGAGGCTTGCATGCGACCTGCCCTTAAAACGACGGCAAAGCAAACCTCGATTGCTATGTCATATATAATTATGCAAATCACACGAAAATTTCAAATCAAAAGCATTCAGTTTTTATTTAACTAAAAATATTTTTTATCAGCAGTCAAATTTTGTACATAACAATAGTAGCACGTATTAAATTTTTTTAATTATCGGGAGGAGTCGAGGAGTCTCGTGTTTTTTTTAAGCTGGCAGCAAGAAGCCTTTTAGATTTACACAGAGCGCGTGAAATCTGCAAACGGTGATTATTCGCACCATCCCGCGCGTTCCCGCGCGTGGGTACGTGATTCACGTGATTTTAAAAATGTGTATTTTGTTTATTGAAAATCTTGCGTAGAATGGCGAAACCGGTGCAATAAAATCCGAAGATTTGCTCGATTCTTGATTATTTCAGCTACAGTTCCAACGAAAGACTTCCCATAAAATTCTTGGTAAACGATTACATTGTCAAAAATTAGTATAGGAAATTACACGGTGAAAAAATCATGAAAAATCTCACGCGTGCACTCGCGGTATTAGAGAGGTTAAGATACCCCGGTTCCAGTTTACGGGTACGAGTATCGCCATTTTGTTTACCAATTGTTGCTGATGTCAGCAATTTTACCCGTAATTTCTACCCGTTTGCCCGCGGTAAACCATGGTCTACACGTGAACGACAAACGGGTACGGGTGTTTTCTGTTTACTATATGTGGGCCGTTTAAATAGTACAAATTTTCAACATCTTACCCAAAGAAATAATGCACATATGCTGGTCAAAGTATTCAACAATTTATGGCGAGCCTCAACAGCGAAAGTTGCCATTCTCTGATCAGTTTTCTCACGCCGGAGTATCTTGGATTTCTTAAGTTACAAGTTACTCCCCGATTTACGGGTACGTGTATATCACCCGTAAACCGGAATCGGGGTATCTTAACCTCTCTATTACAAATAATTCGCCAAACACAAGTGTGATTTTTCATTAATACTTCGAGAACAAGCCGAATTTTCCAATAATATCATTTTAGGCCAATTAAAAAAAAATAGTAGTTTCCCGTCCCTGCCCGCATCCTTTTTCCCTGCCGCATGCATTTTTTTTAATTAACAATTATTCGACGAAGGCGAGGTGATTATCGGTGAATAAAAACCGAGACGAAGTAGAGGTTTTTATTCACGATAATCACCGAGCCTAAAGTGAATAATTGTTTTAGTATAATTTCATAGGTGATTATTTGGGAAAAAAATTTAAAATGCACATTTATTCGTTTTTTAATTGACAAAACGGCTTCGGCCGCCATTTTGAAAATCGCTTAGGTGATTATCGCGTAATAATCACCTCAACGGTAACCAATCAGCGTGGAGATTTTTCAATAATCACCTATGTAATTATACTAATGTTTTATATTCGAGACTTTCAAAGTATTTCCACTTAGTATATTTCGGCCATTTTATTCCTTTCGGCCCTTTCGGCATAGTTCGGTTGCCGTTCGAAAATTATCGATCGTCAACTCTAGCTTGCTGTTCGGTACTTCGCGCCCGCTGTTCGCGCCAGCTGTTTGTCTATTTTAATATATTTAGGTTTTATGAGTAAACTTCAATATTTGCGTGTGTTTATAGGCGCGATTTGGTAAACTTTAACAGCAATATTTGGAGGTTTAACAAAAAAAGCGTCCTCATTCTCCTTTTTTTTCAAAATTCGGACCAGAAACTACTGATTTTTTTTACTTGGCCTTATAGTCAATTTTTTACGAGCATTAAAACTCATTCCGGGCAGAAACTTGCTATGTAATCGTAAAACAATTTCAAAAACTCATTAATAATTCATAAGCATTCTAGCCTATGAAATCAACCATAATAAGTCACGTGAGGTGGCTTTATATATGATAAAGTACCATCAATGCTAAGTAGGATGGCACATTATATAATTTTTCATGTTCATTAGTATTCTTTATATAATGTTTTATCCTAATTAGCATTTTATACATGGAGCCTAATTTCTCGCTTTTTCGCTACAATACACACTGAATCTTTGTTTGCTTGCGTACATGAAAAGAAAAACTCTCAAAAAGCATTGCAAAAAAATGTATTCTACTTGCTTCCATCTATTTGTGACATTTTTTGTGATAAACAAAGCTTATATACTGCTTTATAAGAGTTCTATAACATGCAAAAAAATAATTCTTCAAATTAGCTGCGTGTTCGTTTATTATTTCTACTTATACTAGTGCAAAACGTTACCAATTTCTAGACTAAAACCCAAAGTTAACGAATAAATGAAGTATTGCAGTGTCTTTTTTGTTTCTTTTCTAGTCTATCTTCAACAATTTTTTCCATGTCAAGGATTCCTCGACGCTTTTTTTCTTACGAACACTTGGCACTTCTTCACACATTGTGCATGCGCTATCGTTGCATCTCGTAAATGGAGGGCATTTTGGTTCTTGGCGATTGCTTGTACATTTCACGATCTGGGGCGACCACTTCAAAATACCGTCTTTCGTTGTTTGCTTGGTAGTGAGTCGGAGTTGCCACATGCATCCCCCTGTGAATGGCTTTCCTGTATCATAGTTTTCGCAAGGGAAAGTTATCGCTTTGGTTTCTGATTGGCTGTCTTCCCACTCTTTTGCGAGCGACGATGACACGTTTGTAGTGACTGATGTGCTGGCTGATGCGCTGCCAAATGTGAAACCAGCTTTGATTGTAGAACTAACTGAGACTGATATACTCTTAGTGATTTTTGTCGTGTAACTGATCGTGTTGCTTATCTCGTGAGTAACTTTACCGTTTTGATTGCAGCCAACCACGGACCATGTTGCACTAGGTGTGTCCCATTTTTCATCCACCCATCTAAAGCGTTGATCAGGAGCCCCGTCACACTCATGGGTCAACACATTGCTTTTTATCTTTGCACTCGTTCCACTAACGTCCATGCAATTGATCGGCTTCTTCTTACTCTGGAAAGAACAGTAATCTTCATGGCAGTACTGGTGCGGTCGTGTCCACATTTGATCAGGCAAATCTTCACACACTTGCGTAGTGATATCGCCATCTCCATCATAACCCGCAATATTGACACACAATCCAGATATTTTGTTAAGTAATTCCCCATTTTCGTGAAAATCGAAATGCTGATTAGCAGCGTCTTTACAGCTGTCTATGTAAACATTGCCACGTCCTTGGTCTCCCTCCACATCCAGACAAAGACCAGATTTCTTAACTTGTAGCATCCCATGTGCCAGCAACTTACCCCGAGAACGGAAGTAGAAGTACTGGTTATCCACATTTTTGCAAGGACCACAACGGCCATTAACATCCATGCACGCTTCAGATTTCACGTTTATGATTTCTCTTGCTTCTTGTTCAATTCCACCTGTGTCTACGAAGGTTTTTGACCTTCCATGTCTCCACTTCTGATAATCAGGTATGGCTGGGTATACCTTGCAAGAAGCTGACTTCAAATTTCCATTTCCGTCTTTGCCTGGTGTAAAACAATTATGAGGCGCTTTTGAATTCCTAATCGTACCATCTTCACACATAATAATTCGCTGATCATGATAGCCATCACATTCATGTGTATTAATCTTTCCGACACCATCTGTTCCAGCTATGTTAACACATTTCTTTGACTTCAAAGCTCGAAGTTCGCCAATTGCCATCGGATTAAAACAGACCACTTGGGCAGCGGTTTCGGTGGAAATACACGTCAAGACAATAACGATTAAAAAAAGAATATTTGACATCGTTATTTCCCTTGTTCTTGCTGGATTTCTAAAAAGTGAGGCAGATATTTTAATTTCCTGTCTGCAACACCAATGTGTTTGTAATTGCTAAATAGCTGCTCTATAATTGTCTGTAGTCTTTAAAGCAAAGCAAAAGGAAAAAAACTTGTGGCTAGTCTCCGCGTACAATATGATATTTAACAATTATTCGCCGAAGGTAAGGTGATTATCGGTGAATAAAAGCCGAGACGAAGTCGAGCTTTTTATTCACGATAATTACCGAGTCCGAGGTGAATAATTGTTTTAGTATAATTTCATAGGTGATTATTTGGAAAAAAATAAGAAAATACACATTTCTTCGTTATTTAATTGACAAAAAGGCTTCGGCCGCTTAGGTGATTATCGCGTAATAGTCACCTCACCGCAACAAATTAGCGTGAAGAATTTTGAATAATCACCTCTGTAATTATACTAAATATAATTAAAATGTAAAACATCCAAATATTCGTATTTGGAAATCCAAATATTTGTATCTACAAAAATGACGCGATGTTTGTGAAGGGCAACAACTAATAGAAGCAGATGGTTCATTTGAGTAATTATAGAAGGCGAGGTAATTATCGGGGAATATTCGCCGAGACGAAGTCCAGGAGAATATTCCCCGATTATCACAGAGCCTGAGGCAAAAAATTGTTTTAGTAGTTTTACACAAGTCTTCGGGCCCATATATGAATATATATATATATATATATATATATATATATATATATATATATATATATATATATATATATATATATATATATATATATATATATATATATATATTTTATATATATATATATATATATATATATATATATATATATATAATTTGTTTTGTTGTAGTAGATAATAAAGTGCTCAACACTAATACAAAAGTAGAGCAAGATATATTTATATCTTAAAATTAATTATTGCTACTCAAGTTTCACGCCTTATTCAAGACGATCTTCAGGCAATTAATTCAGTTTGTGTTTGATTCGTCAGCATCAACGGTCGGTCTCTGACGCGACATATATATATATATATATATATATATATATATATATATATATATATATATATATATATATATATATATATATATATATATATATATATATATATTCGATCAAGCCCAAGAAACGAACCCGATCAAGAAACATTATTTGGTACAATCCGCCCTACAGCAAGAACGTGAAGACGAAAGTTGCAGAAAATTTCCTTCGTTTAATAGACAAGCATTTCCCCAAATCATCGATCCTACATAAAATTTTCAACCGAAACTCTGTCAAGGTCAGTTATTCATGCATGAACAATATTAAAGCATCAATTTCAAACCACAACCGGCGTGTTATTAAGAATCAGAATCCCTCCCAAATTCCATCGAAATCGTGTAACTGCAGAATTAAAAGTAAATGTCCACTGAACGGCAATTGTCTCGTGAGAAGCGTTGTGTATAAAGCCCAGATTACAAGCGACAATGGGAAAGTGGTCAAGAATTATATAGGA